ATATATATATATAATGTTACATCTACATGAAAAATGTACCATTGATTATAAAAAAATTGCATTAAGATTTCAATACCATGAATTAAAAGTTGAAATTAAATTAATGTCAATAACTATAAATAATTTATTACAAAAGAAGAAGAGCATATCTTCTTCGTCTTAAGTTTATATCCTCCTAATTATATTTATTTTTATTCTTTATAGATTCTTAATAAATGTGTCGACACTCTTCACACAAATCCTCCATGTAAACATTATATTTCAATGACATCGGCTTTATTTCTGTATCATATTTGTTATTTCTTAGAATATGTTTTACGCAGAATGTATCTTACGCCGGAACAAGAAAGGAATAAAGAACTAAATTATAGAAAACTTTGGCATTGTCAAAGAAAATCTGTTGAAGATGTTACTAGTAAAATATATAATTTTTAAAACTGTACAGTCAAAATTTTTCCGTTCCTCTATTTTAGACTCACCTGAATTGAGTAATATCTACTTAAATTCCCTATTAGAAAATTAAGAATGTATTACTTGGACTACAATCAGTTTGGACGTAAGACGCTTATCATCATTTTGTTTTTATCGTTTATTAGATATAAAACAAGGACAGAAACGCTGAAAACACTAAAACTGCACTGAAACTGAACGCAGCCTCACATCTGTTCAAACTCTCACGCATGATTATATTGTACTCTAAATGACAATATCACTTTGAATTAATACGATATACAGTGAGTGCAAAAGTATTCGTACAAGGAAATTTTTTATAAAAAGTCTTATTTGTAGAAAATAAATATTAATTAGCAATTTTATACAATGTATACATTCTGTTCTAACATTCAGGGTATCAATCGTAAAACTTTTTTCCTAGGAAAAAGTAAAAAGTGAAAAGTGAAAAATTTGTCCATCAACTTCAATGGTTAAATTTTCATTTTTCACTTTCCATCCTAGGAATAAAGTTTTATGATAGATACCCTGTTCTAATAAACAAACGAGCTTCGCATATATTTCTGATTTTAAAAGGCAAATTTCTCGACTGTACGAATACTTTTTAAGCATCCAAATAATACAATTTTTAATTTTTGCTTATTTTTCAGATGATACATTTTCTATAATTAATACACATTCTTTTTGATATATATAATTTTAAGAAACATATAATCTATTTTATTCTTTATGAATAAATTGTTAATTACCCATCAAGAAATGATCGTCAATTAAACGTCGAATTGATTAACATTAAGTTGGTGTTGAAATCATCGTATCGATATCTATTCGACATCAATTCAAGGACTCATTTTTCGTTGGATAATATTTACTTTTTAAAAATAAAGATTAAAAAAAAAATATTTTCTCTGTACGAATACTTTTTGTACTCACTGCATATTATTATTCTACATACGCGTACATAATCAAGTAGCAAATACAAAACAATGACGGAACAGCGTAAAAGAAAACATTAAATTTATATTAATATCTAATGAAAGTGTGCACTAATTTCTACGCCGACTTTCACTTACACTTCACTTCTATATATTTGATTTTATTCGGGAGTCCAAATTATTTGTTCATTTTAATTAAGTTTTCTAAAATTTATAATTTAGCTGGTTGTGTGAGAAAATAAAATAAAGTTAATGGTACAGATATTGAATCTCGACTGAATTTTCGACTGTACATCTATGATTAAAGTCGTAGGAAAAAGTTCAAAGAAATTAACTTTCGTCTTTTCTTTCCCTTTTGGGCATATAGAGTCTACTACAGATCTAGAAGAACAACGAATTAATCATAAAAAAATGCTCGCGGACACAATCAAACAATACGAGAAAAATATAGTTACTATCAATGAAATTGACAAAAGATGCAACGAATATATCACAAGTACAAAGTATTGATTCTTAAATTTTTTTATACCTTTATATCGCAACCAAAAGTATACTATACTTTTAGCTATATATATGCAAATAAATAATCCATTATTTTTATGAAATTCAATATTTATTGTCGAAACATAACATAACACATACATATACCACAAAAATAAAATTCTGGCCGTGGTCCGATTTATGCTAACAACGCTCATGAGCTTCGTTTAACATTTGACAAACAACAAGGATGAAATGATTTTTAAGCGTTGTGAGCGTGAATCGGACCGCAGTCTCTAATGGACTGCACTATCGGTGATGATGCAGTATCTAATGGAGCATTTATCGATAAAACTTTATACTAAATACGCCATAATAACGAACGTTACTAAACCCGATTAATGATGACGTGTAAATGTATTTATAATAACTTGCCTTAAAAGAAAGATAAAGGAAAGTATTAAAATTAAAATAGTAATAAGGATTACTTTCATGATTGAACTTAGGAACATGATTGTCCCCATACCGTACAGAATTTGCAGCAATATCGCTGTAAAATATCTGCAATATTGCTGCAACATTTAATGTTGCTGCAATGTTGCTGCAACTTTTGTGTAACTTTGTACTGTAGGGGTCGGTATATGTTTTGACAATAAATATTAAATTCCATAAAAAATAATGAATTATTTAATTGTACCTAATATATTATTATATTTATAAAGTATTATACATACGTGCTGTTTACGTAAGTAATATATATCATCTATCATACTTTGTGTGCTCTATTTTGGTAGCGTGAGATATGAAAAGAAACAAATTGTTATATGTAAAGCGTGGATATACGAACAAAGTAACATACAGTCAGCATTAAAAAACATTATCGATGATTTTGAATCCTTAAAAGATATCAATATGAAAAAAGAACAAACTATTTGTAAACGAAAGTACGTACGCATAGATTTAAATTATCATATTTTTTATTATATATTTATATAATTTATAATTATGTTGCGTATAGATTGATAACTGAATCGAAATTATTAACGATAATAACTAAGTACGATACAGAAATTGGCAATAGATGTAAAATGTTGGAACAACTTAGCGAAATATATAAATATCACAAGCTAGAGAAATACGACTTGGAGGTATAACTTTAATTGTTACATAATTCATAGGGTTAGATAAATTAATGTCTTATAAATACTAAATTAAGTTACAATAGATGGCTTATAAAATTAATTTAGTTGAGTTTAAAAGTTGAATGAACAAAAAATAACTCAATTGAATACATAATTAAAATTGAATTAACTCATGTTAAACAGTTAATTTTGAATAATACTACTTTTATTATATCAGAATATATATATCCGAATTTTTCTTAAAATTAGATTAATTTAAATAACAAAACAATTATAATATAGATAATCAGACAAATTTAATATTTTTATTTTTGTTATTATTATATATATGTGTAACTTATAAATAATATTATTTGTAAGTTATATAATAATAACAAAGATATATATTTTTTGTACAATAAAAAACTGATTTTTAGTATTTTTGCATATTTATATTATAAAAAGAAAATAAAAATAAATTTTTAAAAATTACAAAATATAAATAATAGGAAGCATACAGCCACAGCACTAGATGTTTTTAGCGAAAGTCATATATTTAAAATTATATTATGATAAAGTAGACGTTTCGGTCAAGATTTGATCATCATCGGTAAATTAAAATATAAAGATGTTACATAAATTAAAGAATATTGACAATAAACGCTAGTCAAGAATTGATGGTGAAACAATTTTACATCCGCTTATGAAACTAGTTAACAGAGTTGTAAGTCTAGAATTGAAGATGAATTTTGCAATCGCTTATGAAACATATTTCTATTGCGTTATGAATTCCTTATTACTAGAAGCTATATGAGATTTCGTGTGAGAAATATGGAATTTCCAGATTTACATCAATATTCTTGCGATTTTTGATGACCGAATTTGAAATAGCCTGCTTATAGCCTAAAATAAATCAACTTATCATCATTTGTTAATCTCAAATTGACATATGTCATGTAACCCAGATAGAACTCGGAGTCATAATTAATAGTCATAATTATATCATAGAACGTCATCATGACGTCATTTGATACTTAAAAATTGATTATATAAGTGACAAATGAGGTCATGATGATGTCCTTATGACTTCTGTGTTCTACTTGGGAATGGACATATATCATATCTCGTTAATAAAAAAGTTTAAAAAATATTTAAAGAGTCGTGTTCGAAAAGTTCAAAGAGTTCGTGTTCATACATACATGATTGGTGCCTAGATCTATTTTGGATTGCATTATAGGTCAGGTCCCATATAGGTCTCTCGATGTAAACATATAGCCAATGACCTCTTCGAGCTTCAAATAAAAAACAAGAGATATTTCAATTATTCATTTCTATATATTAGTTATTTATAGTAAAAAATAATAAATATCTCTTGAATGAAGCGTTTGCAAACATATACATCCAGAGGCAAATTTTTGTTTGTTTGAAATCCTGAATTCGTATTTTAAGTTTGGCGGTTTAACCCGGAAACATCCTGTATATTGTAGCAAAAATAAGACGTTATTTTTTTTAAACTTCTTGTTAATAACTTTTTAACGGATAACGAGCGACGGCTAAAACTTGTTGGAGGTTACTCAGGGTCATTACCTTGACAAGGTTAAGGTCATCGGAGAGGCTCCCCTAAAGTGAACATTTACTCTAGTTTTGAAAATTTTGATATGGCAACCTATCACTTGTCAGATGCAGAGCGGTGCAGAGTTAGCTCTAGCAGTTAGATGGACATCATAGTGCATTATGATGACATCGTGCAAATATTTTGTTATCTGAATATCTGCATGGGTGTGTTTAAGATTTTATAGAAAATATAATATTGGTATTTAAAGATAACAAAAATAATTTAATGTAAAAAGAAAAAAGTTAATAAATTTTAAAGTTTAAAAGTATAATCAAATTAAGTTAAATTAATTTTAACTTAATTTAAAATTAAACACTTACTTATTTAAACACTTTATAAGCCATTTATTTTAACTTACATTTAAAATTAACTAAATTAAGTTAAAAGTTCTTAACTTTTTAACTTTTTATTTAACTTTAAATTTATTATTAACTATACTTACTATCCAACCTTGACGATTCATGCTTTTCGATCACACGTATACGCACGTACACATATAACATACAGAAAAAAAAGTTTTATGACAATTTAATTCCATTGCAGAAAGAAATGAAACAACAAGAAAAAGGATATCTTGTTTTTATTAAACAAAAAGAGAAAATTGGAGAGTAATATATTTTTATAAATCTTTTAAGCTACATTTTAACAAGCATGATCTGCAAAGAGAATTCAACGTTGATGATCGCGCAAGATTTTTCGAAATAGAAAAAAAAAGAAAGTATCTCATATATATATATATTTTACATTGCATCAAAATTCATATTATATACAAAGTTCAATTCAATGATTCATCTCCGAGTTATCGAATAAATCATTAATTTTGTTCTTATTTTAATGAATTTATCTTTAAAGATTTACTAAACACGAGAAGGAAAAAGAAAACTCAAAATTATTATATATTATTTTATTTATTGATTCAATCTAATTTATTTACATTTCCTGTACAATGTTGACTTTACAATCTAATTCTTTGCTTCTTTCATTTTAGGTACAACATTTTCAGTTATAATTAAATTTTTGTATGTATTATGTGTGTATATATATATATACATATATATATATATATGTATATATATATACATATAAATACACACAAACATATACATATACATGTATTCAATTATGCGACATATGCCTTGAACATTATTAAATACAAGCATGCTGTGTAAAAGATAATTAAACGAGTATATGAACATCCAAGGACACTTCGATTCTTTCCCTCGGAAATTTTTACAAACTGAGAAATGACACTTTTCTACATTAACGCTCATAGTCTGTGCTCCATTAATGCTCCATTAATGACATCGATTAATCTTACGTCCGCTTATAACTAAATTTAACGTTAAGACGAAATAATCTGAATTTTTTGGAAGTTTTAAAAAAGTAACCGAGGGAAAGAATCGAAGTCGCCTTGGGTGTACAGATATTTTACATTTTATTCGAAATTTCTTTTACAATATCTGTATAGAATACTTATTTTACTCATTGTCAGAACATTTTATATTTGTGAAAGTGGTTACAAAGATGCGCATTAGCGATAAATAAATCAATCATCAAAAAATAAATAAATATAGATATATGTCTAATGACAGTGAGAAATAAAAGTTTGATTAAAAAATTAAAAAACACTATTTTATAAATTAAATGTAGTTTAATAAATAAAGTTGTGTAATATAAATTATTGTGATGTATTATTTGGTGTAAATTTGCTGATGCAAATACTACACTGAGAGAAAAAAAAATAGTTGTGGCAATTATTTTTATGGTAATATTAGTATCAATTATAATATCTGTAACTATTTTTACAGAGTGATAACTACTAAGTACTAATCTAATATTCAACACTGTCAAAATATAATTACGACAACAATATTTGTATGCCATTATAATTGATAGTGAAATAGCATCTCAACAATATTAAATATTTATTTAGACCTCTCATAATTAAAAAGTAAAACATAATAAAATAATTATATTTTTCAATTTTAGTAAACACTTTTTTTTTTAATAAAACACACTATATCATAACTATATAATTAATTATTGTTGAGGTAACTTTAAAAATACAAAACCTTTTCAATAAAGTTGTTCAGCCATGGCGTTGTCATCAGAGGGATGCAGCGGAGTTCAATTTCTCCTAAGAAGAAAAACACTCAGCATACAATAAAAGGCGCAACATTGCAGGATTCGAATTTCAAAAACAAAAATAAATAAGAGAAGCATCTCCATAGTACAGTGTTTATTTCTGTACTCCTGTACCAAAATTCAGCACCTTTGAAATTCCTAGAAGTTATCTATATTATACATACAAAAATTTGTAACTCATTATAAAATTTTAATGAGAAAATATAGTAAGATATTAATCATTCGTAGTTGGTTAATATTGCTACATTTCCTTACGATAATATTTTACTACATTTTCTTAATTCATATAACTTATTCATTGTTCTTGTTAGAACTGCATATATTTATATTATTACAACTATATGTATTATATATTGAGACGCTATTTAACTATAAATTTATAATTATTGGTATGACTTTTTTCTCTGAGTGTACTATCTTTGGCGTGTGAGAAAATTTTCATATTTTATAATATTAAGATTTTGTCATATTTTAAATTTATATGAAGATTTTTGAAAAAATATTTTGAACTTTTCAATTTTATAAATTTTTTATAGAATAAAAAATTTTAGAAATTGTATAGAATATTTCAAATTCACACACATCAACAATTCTAGAAAAGATAAACTTTGTCAGCATTTCTAAAAATTTTGATTTATATATATACAAAATTAAAAAACTTTTCTAAAAAATTATAAAAAATGAATGTAAGAAATTTTAATTACCAGAAATTGCTTGAATTAAAGTAATAAAAAGGAATTTAAAACTCCTAGTTCTTCACCACAGTTCTCTCTCTCTCTCTCTCTCTCTCTCTCTCTCTCTCTCTCTGCCTCTCCCTCTTTCTCTCTCCTGCCCTCTCTCTCTCTCTGTGTCTGTATGTGTGTGTGTGTGTTTGTGTGCGTGTGTCAAAATATGAATTCTTTCTTACTATACATGATGAAAATAAGTTCACTTTTTTGTATATTTCATTCGTATTCGATAGTATAAATACATTATAAAGTATACAGTAGGATATATTTTATACTTTTTTGGTTTATGGAATTTATCAATATTTAATATATAGTTTTTTAAATCTTTATCAACATAAATTGTTTTCATTGAGAACACATAGAATACATACAAAACATAGAATAGATAAACTATTAAATTCTATATTTGTTTATTAATATCATTACATTGTGTCATTCAATTATATTGATAGTAGTACTACAATACTATATGTATGTACTACAAGAAAAGAATTTATTTTATTTCTTGCTTTCATCATCATCATCATCATCATAATCATCATCATCATCATCATTCAATCCAACAATTGTATAACAATTGTATAACACTTACATAATAAAACATTTATTTTTGAAGTAGGTTTTGAAAAAATCTTTCTCAGATATCTACCCGCATATCTTATAAAAAATTCAGGCAACTTTTATATATTAGGTTTAGTCGATTTATTTTACATTTTTTAGATAATAATAAATTGTATAATACTATCCATTACAATTTTATGTATATGCCTGTGTTGTGTTTTTTCACATTTTTGAAATTAATTCTCTCTTGGAAATTATACTTTTACGGTTGACAATATTTACTATTTACACGATCACACATGCAGATAAATATTTATAATTAAAGAAATCTTATCGTAAACAAACACACATGTAGTACTATATAATAAATGCGTGCACTCATATGTGTGACGTGAAAATTCAGATTAGACGACACATACACGAGATTATATATTTTACAAGTTATGTCTAAACTTCGTGCTTTGTATTTTTTAAAAGATTATAGAATATACCACACCAAGACGCGTTCTAATATAATTTTTTCATATCTATCGGATATAATCTCAAGTCTCAATATTATACAGGATATTTGGGAAATAATGATAAATCTTTTGCATAGGGGTAGAATGGACTAAATTGAGAAGAAAAGTCTACTACCATTTTGCAATTTTCGCAATAGTTAACAAAATACTAATTGCTAAAAATTGCTGAAAATTGGTCTTCAATAATTTTTTACTCAAATACTATCAACTTTATAAAAAAATTGCAAAAGACGAAAATTTTCTTTTCATAAAGCTCCAAGAATTTTTTTAGAATTTTTTCAAAGAATTTTTTAATACCGTATTTCCTCATGTTGGTAAAAATGAGAAAATGCAATATTAAAAAATCAATAAAAAATTCTGAAAACATTCGTAAGTTCTATGAGAAGAAAATAAACAATTTTCGTCTCTTGCAGTTTTTCTGTAAAGTTGATAGTACATATTTGAATAAAACATTATTAAAGACCAATTTTCGACAAATTTTAGCAATTAATATCTTATTAACTATTGCGAAAATTGCAAAATGTAGAGAACTTTTCTTCTCAGTTTAGTCTATTCTGCCCACTTGCGAAAGATTTATGAATATTTTCCAAACATTCCTGTATGTGTGTGCGTGCGCGCGCGCGTGTGTGTGTGTACACACATAAGTATATGAGGGTCGTTCGATAAATTTGATAAATCTTTATAAAATAGTATAACAATTCATTTGATAATTCACGTGACACCTGAAAATTATCACTTTTTAGACTTTTCCAGATCAAATATCAGCTAGAATTGACGCGTTGTTCACATTCGGTAGTCATTTAAAAATTTAGCAGTTGTGTACAAACATGAAAAAAAAAAAATGAATTCCGTGCAAAATTACAGAATTGGGCTTCGAATTGATTCCTCATCTACTTTATTCCTCATCAACTTAATTTTGCATGGAATTCGTTTTCCTTTTTTATACGCGGCAACTGTTTAATTTCTCATTCGCTTTAAACAACTATCAAACGTAAACAACGCATTAATTCTGATTGAAATTTGATCTGGAAGAGTTTGAAGAATGATACTTTCCAGGTATCACGTCAAAAAGATTTACCAGATATTGAACGACCCAGGTATATATATACCCACTTAGCCAAGCCTGCAAAGACAGATTTTGAGCAGTCTGCTATAAGATGATGCCCGAAAGGTAATAAATTTCAAATTGTTTTGTAAGCAAAATGTTAGCAAAATAGTAACGACAGAATGGTAACAGACTTGATCAAGAAATGTTAGCATCCTGACCTCATCCGAGGTCACATTCTGCTTCCGTTTTATCAACAGCATCTGTTAATATTCTATGCCAGCAGAAATTAAACAGAACCTAACAGAATCTGATGGCAGATTGATAGAAACTAAACAGGATCTGCGCACAACTTGATGGTAGACTGACGACAGAAATCGAGCAGAGATGCTATTCTGTAATATAATATAAATATAATAGAGTACGTTGTATATGTATTTATTTGTATATTTAAACTTTTATATGTAAAATATATTTAATTTATTAATAAAATTTTTTAAAATTATTTCCTTAAAATAAAAAAAATGTAATAGAAATGTCATTTTAAGAAATTTTTTTCAGAGTAAAAACGTTATAATTTTAATACCTATAAAACAGCAGGATCTGTTTCATTTCTGTCGTCAGTTTGCTGTCAGATTGTATTGTGCAAATGATCCTGTTTGGGTCTCTGCGACCAATTTACCATCAAATTCTCTCAGCAGATCCTGCT